CATGAAACCTAAGTTGAAGGCTTCCTGCTGATATTCCTCCAACCGTCTAACAACAGTTTCGAATGCACGTGATGGCGAGCCACCTAGGATGGTGACCACATTACAAACCTGAGTGGCAAAATTCATTCTGCATCAGACGTTGGACTAAACGCATAATATTAGTCACTACTTAATGCCCAATCAAAGTATATTTGGCATTTTATTGGGACTTAATTACACACAAGGGATACAGAATAAATAATAATCGGTCTGACTGTTAGTTCTTTAGTACTCAATAATGTTTATCGGTGAAATGAGTTAAGTGCGTTTATCCATTTTAAAGTCTATCGACCAAAAGATTATAGGTTTAAGCAAAATTTCGACAAAATTGTCTTCAATAAGTGAGCATAGATAATTTATTAAAATAAAAATTCAGAAGTTTGATTAATATCACTTATAATCACGTAGAAAATTTTAATCGATGAAATGCTTTACTGCTGATGATAATAAGCACTAGAATAATCAATCTTTGTTTTTTAAATTGAAACGGCTGTTTTAGAAAAAAATTGAGTTATTACTTAATTTAAACAAGAGAATTAGATAATGTACGTGCGGAAAGAAGTTCAATGATGAATACTGTTCTAACTCACTGATGATAATGTTAAGGTAATGAATTAAGGTTTCTTTCGCTTAAAATCTTAATTGTAAGTGTTTCATCAAATATTCTACCTTGATCTATATTTTCAAGGCCACAGACTATTAGCTATGGCCTTAATTCTTATTTCTTGTTTTTGGCCTCTTACGTTTGTAAGTGGTTAATTTCTAGGCCATTGGCTAAATGTTCATTAAGCAGTGGATTGTTAGAATCCCTTAATATAGGTCATAGAAATAGATCCTTTGAAGTATAAATCTAATGAATTTTTATTATTACTTTACGTGAAACCTAATCAGAAGAAAGCAGTAAGAGGTAATCTATTTTCACAATGAGGGATTTAGAATATATGGATTTTTATTCTGATGGAGATCAGTGGACCAGTCAAATAGAAGTATTATTTGATAACATTCAAGCAGTGATTATGACTTCATTGGCCTGCTGACAAGTAATAAAGTCAGCCGGCTAATCTTATGAAACAACATATCTTGTTTAGGAAAAATCACTATGCATTCCGTCGGAATCAAGTGATGTCATGATTAAGCCTGAGAGGACTTACCCTCACTTCCTATGTGTGTACACCCAACAATTTGCATTTGGGCAAAGTTAAACTTTAGACACACAACTGGCGTGGACGCATCAATGACCTAGGAACGAGTGAATTTGGGCCCCTGACCCAACCCTAACCCTAATATTTCTTGATACAATCTTAATCTATCCTTAACTAAACCCTAACTGTAATCTATGTCTGAACTAATCCTAATCTGCCTTTAAGCAACTCTAATATCTTCCTATTTAGGTTGACGTAACTCTTGTTTACCTTTTAAGCATACGGTGAATCCATCCTTTAGTGATATCTACTAATTCATACTTTACTACAAATAAACCGCTTCGGCTAACTTTGTTTAACTGTTCAGTAAAAGATAGTGAAAACTTCAAGCTGTTTTTACGTCATTATTCATGCTCCACTTCAAAATAATAGTAAACTGTATTATTTTTATTTCATCCCTTCACTTTCCCAGTGGAACATAGGGCTTCAAGCTAGAGACTTGAAGTTTATGTAGCAGTGTTTATTTTACAGGATGAGGTTGCTAGCCTCATGCCCAACCTTCCCTCTTTACCAGCTTTTATTTCTAGCTTAGCGAAGTAAAGGAGTGCGTCTGTGGCCTGGGATCGAACCCCGGACCCTGTGCATGGTTGGCGAGCGTCCTAACTGCTGTGCCACCGACGCACGAACTGTATAACTAGCGTTACTTCTATTATTTGTGCTTTTTTGCAAATCCTTGAAACAAATGTCTTAAGGTTTTGATTACTTTTCAGTCAGTGTAAAACTGAACATTGTGGTGTATTTCCCACATGACTGTAACTTGCAGAGTTTTGCTAATCTTACGACTGATACCAACAGAAACTGAATGAGTCATTACTTTATGGTTTTAATTAGTTGGTATCTGCTAAAACAAAAAAAACTGACAATAATACTGCTAAACTCGTGGATTTATTTCTGTCATCTCTTAACTTCAATCACTTGGGCTGGAATTCAACAATCCATCCGGCCTAAAGAGTTTGGTCTCGTAACCTGAAGGTTTCAGTCTCTATCCTTGGTGCGGTCGTGGATGAGTACTGGTGAAGAGTCCCGAACTACAACGAAACAGATTTCTAGAGCTCTCTGATTGGCTTGTGACAAAATATACTTTGGAATTAATCCAAATCACTGCAAAATCCCATAATCGAAATACTTAGTTTTAATTTGGCTATCTCTAACTTTAGACTTTCTTCACATAGAATTGTAGAAGAAACTTTTTAACAAATCTGAACCAAAATTATCCTCGGTTTGTCACTCCCACATTCATTAAATCTTACTTACCTTGATGTAGTGTTCAATTTTCTTATAATGCTAATACGTTGGGGGTTACATTAGAGAATTCTAGCTGTAACCATAGTGTAATATATTGTCTGTGTGTATTAGAGGTATAAATGTGACAGTGTACGCTTTGCAAGTGCGTCTACTTGCAATTTGTTGTTGCTTTTGTTGCCTGCTCTGTCGCTTCACTCATCCCCTCCTGTATTCCTTTTCTTGTTCTTGTTCTTCTTCTTCCTCTACCTTGCCTTCACTGACACCTATTATTCAAATAAAAAACCATTTAGTACCATTTTAGGTATACAATTGCCTTATTCTCCCTTCCCCTTTACGGATTAGTGCAAAATTCTGAGTTTGACTTCAATACAGGTATGTGAATATATCAGATAAGTAGGTATTTAGTTGTATAAGCAGCTGTGTTTATCATTTTCAAGTCTGTCTATCCTTCAGATTTAGTCTACAAAGAAGGAGTGATTTGATTGCATCTCCATCTGTTTCTCATTCCCATACTAGAGTATGATGTAATCAGTTGGAATACTAACAACACTACACACACTGGATTTACTATTTTGTTGTATAGTTTGCTTACAAGGAATTGTAAGACTTTTAATAAGCATAAAATTTATCACTGGGACTAATGGATGAATAACATTCATACATCCGCTTTTAATAACACTAGAATTTATTCGAAATATCTTACAACTACTAAATCAATCCATAAATGGGATTATTTGAGATATCAGATTGATCGATATTCGGTGTAGTGTCGCCATGAATAAAGTTAAAATGCACATGAATCGTGATGATTAAGGTTCTTGTTTCATTACTAAATATTACTTTGTCATGTCAGTTCCTCTCTGACTAATTGAGCATACTAGATAACATTTTCAGCCTTTTAGAATAAGGATAGTCTACTAGATATTACAACTCTAGTATAAGTATTCCCACGTGATTAACTTGGGAGAAATACCGTAGATTAGGTTATTGAGAGTAAATGAAACAAACGTGGTTCTTTTGCAATGCAGTAGCCTGGATAGATCAGTGGTAACACCTCTGACGTTAACACTGGGTGACCAGGGTTTGAACGTGAGAAGAGACATGAGTTCCTTCAATATTACAGAGTGCACACCAACCACACACCAGGTTCGGGCTTCGATTCCCAAATGACGCACTCCTAACCCTCGCCTAACTGGTAGTAGGCCCAGTAAAGAGGAAAGGTTTGATGTGAGGCTAACAAACGCATCCCGTAAAAAAATCAAGCGCTACTGAAACTTTAAATTTTGAAGCTGGAGGGCTTATGTTCAACTAGGAATGCACGAAGGATGAGTTCTTTGTGTTACAGTAATATTCAAGTGGATCACAAAGACTAAGTAATATACTTTTTTTAGCGTAGTTGATTACACATTTGATGCATTCGCTACCTTTGAATGTCCAAAAGTTTTGTATAGGTCATAGATTCGTTGAACATTTATGTTTGATTGGTCACAGGATTTCATCATGAGCTAACGTCGGTTAGAGAATCGTCTTAGTTTTGAACTCTTCGTCAGTACGCACCCACCTGGGTTCGAACTCAGGACCTTCTGGTTACAAGGCCAGCGAGCTCGTAGACCACAAAGCCATTACGGCGAAACAGCTGTCCAGTACTCTCAAGTTCTCCAGTGGTTCCCTAACCGATGTCAGTCCATGATGAAATCCTGTAACCAATCAATGAAATTCCAACAAACCAATACTTGGATATTTATGTTTGATCTTTACTCGAAGCAGTTAAGGGAGTTCATTATTTTTGTTTAACTGATCTTCACCCGTTTTTTCTTTTACCCTTCAACTTAGTTAATTTACTTTGACTATTCAAAATGTTGCCACATTGTGATTTTGAATAGATCAAGAGCAATAATTTAGGCAGAGTGGAATAAGTTTCTGCATATTCCGAGGATATTCGTCGATTAATTACAATCTGAGAAAAAAAATAATAAGACGATATTTTTTACACTTTGTTTGATTTAATATAAATGTATCGTTCACTATAAATTAAAAAAAAGTAGGAACCTAATGTTGTGTATTACGTAAGCATCTCATTTATTCATATTCTACCCACTTTTCACTCACACCAAGTATCCATCTTTTTTTATTTTGTGTGAGTAGGGAAATCTTTTCTTTTTGTATTTCCAACTTTAGTTCAAATTCATTTAGTTCAGTTATAATCCCCGCCTCCCCACGCCCCTACAACATATTTCCTCTTTCCAATCGGCATTCCCTAGTCGAAGTGGGTTAACAAGCATAAATATTTCTGAATATTTTTTAATAAAATTTGTTCAGGTTGGAATCAGTTGATGTGAATCTGTAAAACAGATTGTTTTGCTCCACTTATCATTTTTGTTTTGTTCAAATTTATCAAGGGAACATCATTTGATTATGCTTTAGATTACAACTGTAGATATAACGATGCGTTTGCCTGAGTTATTCAGGATAACAATACAGACATAAAACACTCGGATCGATATTGTCTATCAGATGACTAAACTTTCTCAAGGTAAAAAAAGCTTTGAAATAAATCAGTGGTTTGAATGATAACCTTTGATAATGTTAAAGATTGAGTTCAAGTTGCACAAAGGTTATATTACAACAGATCTCCTTGAATAACTTCATTAGTACTTTAAGAATGGTATTAACTCTGACTAGGGAAGTCTTCTTCAACCTAATGTACAATCTGCCTATAGCATTGATTATTTTTACTCTCCCAGAAACATCATAGTTATCAGCTGAAGGTTAATTGCATTTAAAGTGATTAACAATGCTGTGGGATTTCTTAGGGCAGGTGAAGTTGAGGAACAGAGTTTACTGCCATTCTTGGCTCTCCTGGATAATGATACTTAGTCGTGCAATTTGTTTTTCTAGAACCTATCTTGTTTCGGGTGAAATCTTTTAGTCCTTCCGGGATGATATGATTTAATACATTACCTGGGTGGACAGAAGCGTGATAATGTTATCCTAAATCCAGTGAGGTAATTCTTCACATTTTTTGAGTTTGGCATGGGGTCTGTCCGACTTTTGATGTGCCTGACTCGTGAAACCCTCGAAGTCTTGCGTTTGTATACACTGCCTCCAGTCATCAAATCAATGTAGGTACAGAAGTCTGCAAGATGAGTGCTCTATTCTTACTCATTTCACCCAGCTACTCAGGATCCATAATGAGTTCTCTTGGGGTTTTGTTTACACATTCATTGGTTTTCACTGCATAAAGGCATTCTATGCTACTGGTGACATTACAATAGTTAAAATTTCAATGTGCTGGTGGTTGTTGTCTTGATTACCGGATATGATTATTAACTCCAGTTAACAATTTTAAGAGTTCACTTTCATTCCATCTGCTCTCACAGATTCTTGGTACTTCTGTAACAAATCTCCACCATCATTCTGCAATCTGAGCAACCTTACCAACCTTAAGCAGGCTTCAGATATTGGGTGTCTGTATACTTACTTTTGGTTTCAGCGAAAGAAGACTTATCCATTGATGGAGTTCCTGAAGGTTTTCACCCACCGGTGTCAGTTGTCTTTGATATTAAGGTGCCTTTCTGAGTACAGTGAATAATAAGGTGACTCAATGTGTGCTTCGAATTATCCCCTAGCAATGAGATTTCTTTTTTTAAAGGGTGTAGTTGCTTTCCCCATACTCCATCTTCCCTCCTTTCTGAGCTTTGGAATGGCTGATAAATTAGGCGAGGTTGGTGATCATAGTAATCTATGTTTTATCTTCTGCAATCCTGAATAATAAAAACCTAAATAACGAAAAGATTATTCGTTTTATTTGGAAAATATTTATGTATTTATGTGGCGGACACAGGAGAGTTTGCGTATGAACTCTTAATTCCCGTCAGTCAAACTACCTAGGCATTTACTGCCTCAACTTTTATCACCACATCAATTGCTTTTTGGTTGAAGTTGCTGAATCTATCATAAAGTTCTTGTCTGAATTCTGTTAACGTCACAATACAACATTTATTCAGTAATAAGTGAAAGTTTCTGCTAGAATGCACTAAGCTATAACCTGAAAATAATTAAGTCCTCATTTCACAAATAACAGGTAAACTACAGTAGATCATATATTACGTTTTGTTTCAAGGAGGGAATTCTAGAACACTTAAATTGTGTTAAATTTTAATTTTCTCACCTTAAGCTTCTCTGCTATATCTTAATAGGCTGGAAAATTTCCAATTTAAAGTAAGCTGACCTTAAGTAGTTGATAATAATTAATCTCATGGAAAATTCCCATTGTAACATATAGAAAATCAAAACAAGTGATTCAGCGAAGAGACTCTTTTCAAAGAATTTATTATCAAGCTGTACAGTCGTATATATATGGGTTTTTCTAAGAAATTATATCCGGTTAGGGAATTGAATCATAGGTGTGAATGCATAAAATAATAATAATAATAGTATGAAATGCAATTAAAACTAAAATGTTTGTGATTATAATCGTAGTTAAGTGTCAAGTGGCAAAGCAAATTAATGTCATATATAGAATAATTCATAGGATGGATAAAACTTGAAAAAGGTGTGCAATTATAAGATTAGTAGACAAATCGAATAAAATAAAAACGTTACGTAACATTGCGTGTGTGCGTCGGTGGCATAGTGGTTAGGACGCTCGCCGACCATGCACATGGTCCGGGGTTCGATTCCCGGCCGACGCATTCCTTTACCTCGCTAAGCCAGAAATAAAAGCTGGTAAAGAGGAAAGGTTGGGCATGTGGCTAGCAACCCCATCCCGTAAAAATAAACACTGCTACAGAAACTTCAAGCTTCTAGCTTGAAGCCCTATGTTCCACTGGGGAACGTGAAGGAATAAAAAAAAACATTGTGTGAAATTTAATAGCATAGAATTTAATGTTGCATAAAGGAATTGATTTAGAATGACAAGTGGAACAAGTGAAATAATACCGAGGACAATTAAGAGTTAGGGTAGTAATAGTAACAATTGACTTAATAAGGAAGAGTATACAAATTGAATAGACAAAAATGAAAAAAAAGAAAAATTGGTAGAGCTAAAATATGATTGGGGAAAACCATACTTTAGCATAGAGGGATTAAGACCATGAAAGTTGGAGGGGTTGAACGAACTTTTTCTGTAAACAGAGATCTGGATTTTCTGTTTCGATAGCCAAAGCTTCAGCCATACAGATGAGTCGGGTACGTAGGGATTTGGGTAAATTACTCTTTGCCTTGTAGATGACTTTGATCTACACTAATTTGTATGCTCCTGAGTTAAAATGCTATGCATTCATCGTTTTCTGTCAAATTTTTATTTGATAGTCACCTTGAATGGCGTGTTGTCTTACTGTTGAGTCACAGCTTCTTCCTAATGGAAGAAAATCACTGGACATAATCCAAAATATTAGTTGTTCTTTTGATAAAATTCATGCGTACTTACTATATAAGTAAAAGTTTGCATTCATTTTGACCAACGCACATGCTTATATCCAAGTCTCTTCTCATTACGTAAATGACTGCATAAAAATACGCATACACAGAGCATTTAAACAGAAATTGATTTCCAATTGTTCGTTTGTAGGGATTTGATTGGTTACAGGATTTTCATCATGAGCTGACATTAGTTAGAGAACCATTGGAAAACCAACCAGGGAGTACTGCACAGCTGTTTCCCCGTCCTAGTCTGGGACTCTTCAGCAGTACGCACCCACCTGGGTTTGAACCCAGAACCTTCTGGCTACATTGGCTAGGGGTCGCGCTATGTCGTGAATTGGCAGAAGTTGGAATTCATGGGCCATTGGATCAGGTCCCAGTGGCTTAATGGTATACGAGCTCGCCTTGTAACCAGAAGGTCCTGGGTTCGAATCACAGTGGGTGCGTACTGATGAAGAGTCCCAAACTAGGACGAAACAGCTGTTCAGTACTCCCTGATTTTCAATGGTTCTCTAACCAATGTCAGCTCATGATGAAAATCCTGTAAAGAAATTGATTTGTTGTAGGCTGTCTGGAGATTATATTTACAAAACAGAGGGAAGAGTAGAATCAGTTTCAAATTATATTTCCAGTATTTTGAGCTCAAACAGTAGTTACGAATTTATTCTTATACTATTCTGATATAATTTTTAAAATTGTAAGTGAATATGTAGTAGTGTGATATCCCTTTTTTCTTATTAGAAAATAATATTTAGTCTGTCTTGTTGACTGTTTGGATCCTCGTGACTCTAAGAACCAAATGCCTGGAGAGTGTCGGTCACATGTCTCGAAATCGTCTTTAATGGTGCATATACCTTCCCTCATCATAAACTCTCAGGTCTATTAAAATCTTATTATTCTCCACGTAAATATACTCTTTCACCTTACATTTCCGTTTATTTTAATTTTATCTTTTTCTAACTTTATTTGTAATTTATGAAGTGTGGCAAGTTGAAACGCTGCACTTTGGTGTAAAGCTGTACACTGACAATTCAATTCTAATCAGTTGACTCGTCCTGCTAGAATAATAATACTACTCATTAGTTAATATGATGACAGTTGAAGCTTCAGTGAATTAGCCAGTGGCAGTGGACAAATTATGCAATGAAGCCAATAGGCAAATACTTTTTGTACGCAATATTTTGTTTTATTCTTCTAATTAACTATTCATATAATTAATGGAGGATTTCATACCCTGGAAATTTATTATGCCTGATAAATTAACGCTTTAAAATTAAAGGTTTAGTCAAGTGTAAATTTGGTATTTTTATGTTATTTGGTAAAGAGAGCTCAGGAGACAAACAAAAGCTGAATTGTTTTACTGAATAAAAAATAATTAAAATACAATTGCATGTAAAGCTTTCATTAGATGGAATTTGTTAAAGGTGATAGGAATCAGTGAAACTATCCTTTTTTTTCATACTCACGAAATTGGATCAAAGAAATACAAGAGATGAAAATCATTTGAGCCTGAATCTTATTGATTAAAAACGCAGTGTCATGGTTGTACTTGAAAACAAATGACATAAGTCATATAATGAATTTTTCCAGTGAAGGTATACTGATATTACTTACAGGCTAACATGTTGTTCTACCTCAGTTAGTTTTAAGCTAAATCCCTCTAAGTGACAGACTTTTAACAGCGTTCCTAGACACAAACGGGATATAAAATATCTGATACGGCCCTGTGATTATTCTAACATCGAGGGTACTAAGTCAGAAAATAAGCTGAATGTTAAATCTCTTGGATAAAGTCTTTTCTCCGATCTATCCTGATCGTCTCACATATTGTTAGTTTCTAGAAAAAAAAACATATTGTCTGACCTCCCACCTAAGGAAGTTAAAGGAATCTAGCATCATTCAGCCTGTACTTTTGCATTTTGTATTGTTTGTATTCTGGACTCTCTTCTTTATTGCTCCGTATAATCTTTCCTGGACTACTTGATGCTCACACGACTAAATATAAAAACTCAACGATACCTTATTTGGCATGCATTTTAAGCGATGAAGAAAGTGTTAAGCATGAAACTAATAACTTCTTGAAAAACATAATAAGGGAACAAGCTTTTATAATAGTACTATTACCAGGCATCTCATTGATATGGGTCATGAGGTGGAAATCGCGAAATCCTTTAAAATTATCAATAGATAAAGGAGCTCGATTCTCCTCAAGTTTACCGAAGCAATTCCTATCAAACGCTTGAAACCCGATTTATGTGTTCAGGAAGAAGCAATTATCAGTCTTTCCTTACCCTGGTAACGGGATGTCTTTATTCTCTCTTTCATTCAATTACGTAATCTTTGACTCTAAACTCACCCCTCTGATACACAGTAATTTTACTTGTCTCTTGTTTCTATGATTTCAGCTGAACTCAGTACATTGTTACATAATTTGTTAGTTACTCATCATCTTACGCATTTCTCGTCTTTTATTGGAGGCCTGTTTGACACCTGGGCTACCTTCCCGTACATCTACATATTTGCATCTAATACATCATGTTTCCATTTAGAAAAAATTTAACTCCCTTACCATTGTATGCATACATTTACTTTGTTTGAACTTAAACTCCCTGTGTAAAAACTATATAAGCGTAATTTTCTGAGCACCGTTCACTAATTCCAGAACCTATTGTCAACTGACATCATGAAAAATTTGTCAGTATGTTAAAACATTTCTGTACATAAACCTCATAATTTATTTAGGCTGTAAGCAGCCGATGAGAAGCCAACGAAATAAATAGTGGTACCATATTATTCTGCACAAACCACTGTTGTTCTTGCTTTATTCAAAAACATAATAAAATTAGCCACTTCATTCTTCCTGTCACTTATATACTGTTGTCAGTATTCCTTTTAATTCATTATTCATTTCTACATTTATGTATCAGTGACATTATTATCGCTACAAATATCATAAAGTGTTGTAGTTATTTTTGCCCTCACCACTTAGTGTGAAGCATGGCTATACTGTGTGTTGAAAAGTGCTGTTTGGAATAAAGCCACCATTATTTTTTCCCCACTTTCTTTTTATCATTGTTTATCAGCCAAGCAAAGGGATGGAACTAAAAAAATTCGAAGACGAACTCGTAAAAGGATTACCTCAACTACTGAGTCATCCACTAGTGCAGGAATTAGCCAAGAGAAGCCTGAAAGAAAAAAGCGCAAAAGGAAAACCAAAGAAAAACAATCAGAGGTGGTGAACAAGCCAGAGAAAAAGCAAAACATTCAGCAAACTATGGAATATGTTGTAAGTGGTTTACGTACTGTGGCTTTAGTCATTTCAGTCGTATAATTATATTAAACAGTATTTGTTAAAACACGGTCTGCCTTTTCAAAAAATGTACACTGTCTACTAATTATACAGCATGGATATTTTGTGATTGTTGGCTGACATTGAGCTTATCTGATGTTTTCTTCCGTAAGATTGCAAGTGCATCCAGTTTTCTGGTCTCATTGCATGGCTTTGTCTTTTATATGACGTAGGTTGAGACCTACAGCAAGAAGTTAGTTAGAGTTATGGACACAATGACTAGCCTGGACGCATTCCAAAGATTTTTGCGTCATTTTTCCCTTAATCCTTTCGATTTTCCCCCTTCTGTTTCTCTGTTTTTAGCCTGACAGTCATGTCTCCACTTTTTCAGTGATTTTCTTCCTTTACCCGTGGTATTTTGGGTTTAGATTCTCATTTGCGCTTTCTAAATAACAAACCATTAATTTCCACATCTTATAAGTGAAAGATTTGTGTGTAGTTCTTTATTCGTAAGTTGTTTTACGGACAGCCACATATTTAGAAATTCACTAATTGTGGTTCATTTTAGTTTATGCTATTATCATAAGCTTTCCTGATCCTCCTAAATCTAACGAATTACGAAAAGATTTTTACCTCATATCTTACCTCAGAGAGCTAAAGGTGTTTTGGCTCAAAATAGCCGTTATTTTTGGTCCTATTATTTCCTGTAATTTGTGTATTGCTCTTTGTTATGATAAATTTTGTGGACTATGAGCGTAGTTAGTGGCATACCTCGTACATCACTGATGAGCACAATGGTGAGCAAGGATCTAAATAACGAAAAAACAGTAGGCCGTAGTCCATGTAGCATGATGCTACAAATATATTATGGATTGAATGGAAATGTTAGACATAGAAAACGTAATGTAAAGAGAGTTATCCATCGATATCTAAGTGGAGAAAATATATTGAAGAATCATTATTGTACGAAAATGAATTTATACTGCGTTAAAAATTTTCTGTCCACAAATTAATTCTGAAGCTGTTCAAGCTATACCATAAGACAATAGGAAACTTCTTTTTCACCCATTTTATTGAAGCAAGTAAGTAAAATTCCATGAAGAATTGTCATTCTTCTCTACATATCCGTTTTGTAAAGTGCATAAACTAGTACATAAGGGTGGGAATGAGACATAACCGCTTTAAGTGTTTTCACTCGATAAGTTTCAAATTCTTCAATATTTCATAAAATGTCACGTAATTCCATTGATAACATGAAGACTATTGGCATATTTCATAAAAAAGAACAGTACTAACTTAATTATTGTTGTTTTAATCATGTCTCTGTACATAATTTTCATATTATATGTAAATCGGTGAAAAGATTCTAAATAATATGTTGAAGAAGTGGTATTTTATACATGTAAAGATAAGACAAACATTTCTTTTGAACGTTCTGTGATTGTGTACAGATACCTCACTATGATATAACAACCTTTAGTTATAAAAGTATACAGGATATGAACAATATTTTTGACCCTTATGTTCACTAAATTATTCGTTAAGATGTGCGTAGTTACATGAACTGGATTGCTTTTTCTGATTTCCTCCCATTTTTTTTAGTCTTGATTTCCATTTCAGTTTTCAATGTACTCTTAGGAGCTATTAAAATATGATCTATATGACCTCAATTATTTGTGACATACATCTTCAGTGTCTCCATACCACTGAATTTGTCATAATATGTCACTAGAAAAGAAAATATCTCTTGCTGTTCCATCGGTCAATAAAATCTGTCGTTGGTATAGATAGTTAACTTTTCTTTTTCTGTTTGAGAAGGTTGTATTAGTATTATTCTTGAAAAGGGGAAGTAGCTTGGTGGTTAAAGCATCATTTCAATATTCTCACAGTTTGTGTGGCGATATTATTTGTATTATTATTCCCTTGGGTTTCGAACATAATATTTATATTTTATTTATTTATAGCTTGATTCCACACAGTATTTTTGGTACAAGTATGAAATTTTCAGCATGCGATATCGGTAGCCCAAATTTAGCAGGCCGACCATAGATATCAGGTATGCGTCGGCGGGGGATCGAACCTCGGACCATGTGCATGGTCGGCGAGAGTCCTAACCGCTGTGCCACCGACGCCTTTAGCAGCAAATTTCCATCTCATCCTCTTATCTACAGTTCTTGCTGACTGGCTCCACAACGGTCCTCAAGCTTTCATTTCCTTTTCACAGTCCTTTCACACAGTCTTCTCCTTTTCATCCTCTAAGCCATGCCGAAGTCATCATTTGCCATTCGGTTTCTACTGGTGGCCTTCCTGTCTTATGATGCCACTCATAGTCTCCTCAGAGTGTGTTAGATATATCTCCATTCCCTTCAGCATATTTGCTGGACAGTAGGTTCTTGGTTGGTATGTTGCCAATCCTTTCTGGTTATCTGATCTTCAGTATGGAGTCAGGGAAAATAGTTGTTCCTGAAAGTCTGGAGTGGCCTAATCTAAATCCATTTGGTGATGCACCAAGTCTCTGAACAACTTAACATTAGTGTTGAATATTCGAATTTTGTTGCTTATACTGAGTGCACTAGATTTCCACAATGGTTTCAGATTAATGAAGTTCTGTCTTGTTTTTACTTTCCTGTCTTTAACATCCTCACCCTTGCAGTAATATCGATGCAAATTATCAGAAATAACAAGTCACTTAAAAAATGACTCACTCTGGGTTTAATTAGACATTGATGAACAGTAGATACACCTTTCTAACCATAAAAGTCGATGGCTCTATATCTACCTGAATTGAATAGCAGCACTATAGGACATCGGTATGGTGCTGCTGCATGTGTTCTCCATTTTCAAGGACTTATTAGTGAAGGCATTAATTAAGTGTAATTAAATTTTTCTCTGTTTTAAACATTATAAGCTCACGAGGGTTTGTATAAATTATCAGTACTTAGAATTTAACTGGGGGATGGTGATTAGCTGTGGAATCCAGGATGAGCATTTCGTCCTGTTTGGGACCCGTCATCTGGATGTAGCTGCATTCCTGCATTAATATGACTCATCGCACAAAAGGTGGCTCTCGTGGCGCAAGTGGTCTAGTGGATAACGCTTGGGCGTTTGACAATATGGGCACTGGGTTCGAGCCCCAGTGGGAACATCATCACTCACTGGGGAACGCAGGTACCTCCAGATGACGAGTCCCAAACAGGACGAAGTGTGCATCCTGGATTTCACTGCTAGTTAACATCCATCAGTTAAATTCTAATTACATGCTCAGACATCGTCTAAGCATCTGCACAAGAAGCCGACATGTCAACCTGAGACCGAGCACTTCGGGCCAATGAATCGACAGGAAAATATAAAATTCAATTAGATACTTCGGTTATATTCATTTTTCATTGTTTTACGCAAATTATAATGTTTCTGGAACAATCACTTCAATCTGTGGTAGTCAAAGAAGCAAATGATGAGCGATGCATGATTGGATTTGACGCAACATCTTATATCATAGTTTATTTATTGTTACAATCACTTAATTAAAGCCTTTTGTCAGTTTAATAGACGAGTTTCTTAAGAAATAATGTTTGAATGTGTTCTGTTTCTCAGTAAGCTGGATAACTGTCACAGACTGCTTTCTTCTTCCTTCGTATATAGACTAGTTTTGATGAACTTTTTCTTTTTGAGATGTTCACGAGTTATTTACTTTGCATCAAGTACTGAAACCACGAAACAGTGGGTCGGAACGAGCCAGGACAGGTCTAGATATTCAAATTTGAATGTGTTTATTAGCAGTAATTGATGGAATTTCCAGAATTACATATATATTTGAAAACAAGCACTTCTCGTATGAATATTTGAGTTTTTGTGTATATTAAATTCTTAAGAGTTAGTTTGTTGGGATTAAATTTGTGTCAGCTTTGATTACAAATTGATATTAGATAGAGAACCATTCAATACTCAGGAGTACTGGATAGCTGTTTCGTCCTAGTATGGCACTATCCAGCGGTAAACACCCATCACCTCACCGGGAATCAAGCCCAGGACCCTAAGGTTTAGAGGCGATCTTGTTGACTATTCGGACAGTCACTTCTCAATTTTATCGTTTCCAGCAGCCAGTGTCATCAAAGATTGTTTGTCCTCGTACCTCACTTGGTGGATTGCTCTGACCACCACTTCTCACTATAACCTCAGACAATTACTCCGTTAGTCAGTCATTAGTGGTCATCATATAATAACTTTACTGATGAAGTAAAGGGCTTATTAGGCAAGTTTATTTGATATAAACTACAGTGATTTATTATTCACAACTAAGTGTCGTTTCCAGAACAATTCACTGCTCACGACAATATATATGATGTGACTGTACGCTACCTCAGTGTCCTCATTCCACACTTACTTACGAATAATTCCTTGAGAGAAGAGATTAAATCGCTTACATGATTAACTCTTTCGTAAATACAATCGCATAAATTGTCAGATGAAAAATCTAATTTTTTCTTCTTTGAAGCATTTTAATGCTTCCGGGCAATCAGTTTTGTAAGAATTATGTAGGGATTGGTTAACCTAGGTCAATGTAAACATATCATATTTTTTGTTATCTCAACTAATTTGATAAGACATTTGTAATAAACTAACATTTTTGCCTTATTTGAATATATTCTGATGGTTTCAAATCTCGTAATATTCTAATTTATTTTTATTGTATATCAATTTGGCTAAACAGGTTCAAGAAGGAGATTCATTTAATAGTGTTGCAGCTCGATTTGATGTCACTCCATCAGAATTATGTCGTATTAATAGATTTTTGTCAAGAACATTGTTTGTTGGTCAAATGATTAAAGTTCCTGTGAATCAGGAGATGGTAAAGACGACTGAAGATCCATCTGTACTACCTAGTGAAGAGAAAACTCGTAAGTTTTCAATTAAATGAACTTTCTAAATAATAAAAAGAATTTTTCTTCGTAACATAAACAAAGGTTAGTAAGGAATGCCTTTTTTCATTCCTTGAGTTCTAAGTGGAACATAGGGCTACAGGCTTTGAAGTTCCAGTTTCGGTGTGTTTTAGGGGCTCGAGCTTGTAATCCTAGATCCCAACCTTCTTTTTTCCCTGGGCTTCTTGTCAGCTAGTAAACTAGCCGAGTTTTATGAGTATTTTGAGCAAGAAATCGAATCCGATTGAATTTTTAGCAATTTAAAGACCCTTATCCATTAGCTGTATAGTGACCATAAATAGTTTACAGTGTTAACTGCCTACTTAACTCGAATTATGATTAGTTTTCTTCACAGTAGTTTCTAATACGACTGATGTTCATTTAACTATAAATGTCCTTATTTCGGGCTAAAAAAATTTGTTTTCAAAGTAAAGCTTAGGCGTGGTATGTTTACGAAGGCTTATTTACATTCATTTCTGGTGTTCAAAAAAAAATATTTATTATAATCTTCAATATTTGTACTTCAGATTAGGATATTATCATAGTTCTGTTGTTTCCCTAACTAGAGTTTTCACTTACACGTGTTTTCAAGGTGAATCTGGGAGTCATCTTTTGTGCTACTTTACAAGGAATGAAGGTTGTTAAATCTTTCATTTGCATTTATGGAGAATATTGGTAATTAACTGGATAGGGGAAGAGTCTTTTGTTACCATTTTGCCTCCTGATAAGTTGATTTAAGACATTTTAACATTTACAAAGTTGCATTAAATATAATAGTAACATATTACTGCAGGGAGAAATCTAGCAAAATATTTTTAAGTGTTAGCTTATAGGGATTTTAATGGTTTCAGATTTGATCATGAATTGATACCAGGGAGTACTGGACACTTGTTCCATTCTTTTTTTGGGAGTTTTCAGCAGTATGCGCCCATTAACCCACTGGGGACGGAATCGGAAACCTTCAGGTCACGAGGCGAGTTCGTCAACCCTGAAAATCTAAATGTCCATGAATTCTAACTTTTTTCGGTTTGCAATTTTTAGCGCTTTTGCCAGACGATGTCACTGAGGCTTATTTGTCCTCACATCCGACCTAGTAGACTCCACTGGTCACGACATTTCACTAGAATTTCAACCAACTTCGTTCTGTAGCCAGTCACTAGTGAGCATCAGTGGTCAAACTTGAGATAAATCGAACAGTCTAACTCTTGAAAACTTATGTGGCTGGCTACAGGACGAAGCTGGCCGGATTACTGGTGAGAAGCTGTAACCAGTGGGATCCACCAGGTCGGGTATGAGGACATTGGCTGATGATCACGATAAAATCACATATTGATGGAAGCTGGAATTTATGGGTCATTGAGTTGGGTCTAAGTGGCTGAATGGTCTACGAACTGACCTTGTAACCGGAAGGTCTTGGGTTTGAACCCCTGTGGGTTGGTACTGCCGATGAGTCCTGAACTGGGACGAAACAACTGTCCAGTACTCCTTAACTTTAATTGTTTGAGTAAAATAACAACATTATAGTGTCGAAGTACGACACATATTTTCAGCTTTAAAATTTCAAAGAAATCCGTTTTGAATGTAGGTAAAACTCAGAATTCATACTTTGCATACTTCAGAAATCCTATAGCGTCTTTTTTTCTCTTGAATAATATAAAAACTTTGTGCCAACAAAGATTTTGCGAATAGTTCATTTGAAAAGCCTTGGCACTTAGTTTTCTCTACAGCTTCCTTTCACTTAGCGTTATGCATTAACTCTAATCACCTTAGTCATTTGATGACTGGCTTCTTATGGTCTGGTATTACCTCTTTGTTTTCTCGGTTTTTATAAAGTGACAGAAAGCTCTAATCCCGATGAAAAGTCAGAGAAGTCAGCAGTTACAATGACGGGAAAGAAAACAACAACAACAGATTCTTTATGCAATGTAATAGAAGAGAATATGGAGTCGAAGCGATTATCACAAAAAGATTCATTAACATCTTCTTTTAGTGCAACAGACACAGATGAATGGGAAGTAGATGAATCTTCGTATAGTGAATACACGGTGAGTTGTAAAAAATAACTACTTTGACACATGTTTGACAGTGTTAATGATAAACAGCTGATTCGTTAATGTTTTCTAATTTTTTGATTTTGCGTCACAAATGGAACATAGGCCCACAGGCTTGAGTTTTGAAGTTTCAGTAGTGATGGTGTCGTTATTACAGGGTGGGGTTGCTAGCCTCGCATTCAACCTTCCTTCTTTACCGAACTAACTACTGGCTAGGCAATGTCCAGGCGTGCGTCAGGCGAGAATCGAACCCTGGACCACGTACGTGGTTGACGAGCTTTCTGTCACTAAACCACCGACGCATTATGTTCAATTTATTATTTTGAATTCAGAGTGTAGAAATAACAATGAATAAGGATTTCATCATGAACTGACGTTGGTAAGAGAACCATTGGAAAACCTGGGAGTACTGGATTGCTGTTTCGTCCTAGCTTTGGGCTCTTCAACAGTACGCGCACTCCACCAGGGTTCGAACCCAGGACCTTTCAGTCACAAGGCGAGCTCGTGGACCATTCAGCCACAGGGACGCGATCCAATGGTCCATGAATTCCAACTTCTGCCAATTCATGATATGGCACAACCACTAGCGAATGTCACTGGCAGCCAGTATTTGTCTTCACATGCAGCTTGCCGGACCCCACCGGTCAGTACTTCCCACTAGAACTCAGGTAACTACCTACTTGATGAATACTGCCAGTCGCTAGTAAGCATCAGATTGATACTCAAGTGTTGGTTTGTATGGATTTAATTGGCTCCAGGCATTTATCACAAAACGAACCGACACTTGAATAACAGCGAATCAATTCGATTTCATCATTTATGGTTCAAAAAGCTTCTATCGCATATTTACAGTATGTTCAAGTGTACAAATCTAAAAGGCTTCTTGTGTTCACCAAAACTGCAACTTTAATTGAAATTCGAAAACGCATCATTTCCAACCTACAACTCAGCAGTGAGAATCTGTACCAGTTTCTTTGGTTAAAGAGTTTACTAATACAGTAACGTTAATATATTTTGGTTAGTCGTATCACATGCAGTTCAGCCTATTTTGCTATGTCACGTGTTTGTGAATGGAAATACTCATTTCTTTGCTTTCCTCAAAAAAGGTAGCGAATTTATTCAACATGACTGGGAGAAGCTATGGTAGGCTAGAGATACCAAAATAGCAAGTCTTTTAATCTTTTATTCAACGTTAATTGTGATTTATGACAACGAAGGTGAAGATGCATCAAAATATGCTTTATATTCATTATAGACTAGACTGACTGTTAAAATTATTGAATATTAATATTATCATAACGAAGCTGTAAAGAATGCTCTGAACATCTTGAAAGAGTTCTCTTCAATGAAGTGTAGAAGTGAATATACGTTTGAGGATTGCTGAGTGTGTGGTATTATTGATTTTTTTCTCCGTTATAAGTACCACATTGTATGTTAAAGATTTCAATAGATGTATTGAATAACTTTTGTTTGAATTTCTGACTGACTTAAATCACTATGACGGTCATAATTTGCATTAAAGACGGACTGATGAGTAACTTGTTTATTCAGTCTGGTCACAATCAACCCACTATTTTATGAAAAACAGTTATGCACTCAAATCAGAATTTACACTACTCTTAATTCTAACGCGGTTGGATTTCATCTATTATTGTTATTGTTTCCTTTAATTGCTAGAGGAACATAGGGCTTCAGTCGTGCGTCTCCATTGCGTTCGGTTCTCTGCTAGAGTCTTCACCTGGCTCCAAGTCTGCCCTCTCGTTTTCATCTCCTCTTCACATGACCTCCTCCAAGTCACCCTTGCAATGACGACCAACTCGCCGCTTCCCTTTCGGGTTCCACTGGAGCGATGGTTTGTCTAGTGATGTCACTTGATGGCTTTCTTAGAGTATGGCCAGCCAATCCATCTCCATTTCTTCCTGCCTATTTGTTTCACAATCGGTTCCTGATTGGTTCGCTCCCAGAGATCTCTATTGCTGATCTTTTCTGTCCATCTAATCTTGATTACCGAGCGAAGACAACTGTTAGTGGACGTCTGTAGTTTGTTTGAGATGCTCTTTATGACGCGCTGGCCAAGTCTCTGATCCGTGTAGCAGCAGTGACTTCATGTTGAAGTTGAAAATCTGGATCTTATTTTTGATGTTGAGTACTGTTGACCTCCACACAGACTTGAGAGTAGTGAAAGCTTGTCTTACTTTTCCGATTCTTGCTCTGATATCCTCATCAGTTCCGCCTGTAGTTGAAACGATGCTTCCCAGGTAGGTAGGTAAAAGAGGTTGTTTCTTTCAGGTTCCTTCCATTTATGCTGATTTCATCTATATATAAAATTATTTTAACTTCAGATATTTAAAGTAGTAAAGCTTCATAACAGCCATTGCCTTTGCAAAACTGAGATGGATAACTGCTATACATATAATTCTATGAGTACTCCTAGCTTGATTGGTTTTATGATTATCCCAAAAATTGAGTGCCATGCTCAGTAGGATGATAATGCTATTGAACTTTCTATTAGTTTTCTATTTGCCTGTCTATTCGTCTTTTCTGTCACTGACCCCTAAGCAATTTATTTTCTCTCTTCTTGCTTTGACACATTTTGTTTAGCCAGAGAAAATTGTTAATTGTTGCTTATACCACTTTTAGTATTCTCTCTCCTAATTTTATTTCTTCACTCTGGTATTGTGTTTTTGTTCCTTTACCTCTCATTATTTAAACAATAATTGAATACTCAATTCATTTATTGCCAAAAAGAGAGGTGTATTTAAGGTCATTGGTTTTGTTCAATTTAAGAATTTGATGAATTGTCTCAGTGAACTAAAATAAAAGGAATATCTACGTGCATTTATATATAAGCTTTCTTTTTTAATGTTTCTGTATGCTTGCGTGTTTTAATATGAACTCACCAATGCCATTTGAACAGCCAAATACTTGAATTTTCGGTTAGTAAAAAATTAATTGATTTCGAAATGCTTTACAAAGCTTATGGATACTGTATTGAGAAAAGAAAACAAACTGCTCTGTCTGAATATGAATATGATCACCTCTACATCGGTGATAAGAGTTCTCATCTATCATATTTCGTTTATTTTATTATTTATTGAGTGAATCTAAATTCTTTCGTTGATATTTATATCCCCTTCAGTGAATAACCTCCATATAATCCCTTTTTTTCAATAATAGATCTAATTTCCTTTGTTTACTGTTTAAAATTAGACACATTAATTTTTAAAGAAGATTTTCCTAAAGTGATTAGTAGTCTTGCTTGATGAAATACTCCACTTTTTTATTTTCCTGATGAAATAAAAACAATCATTAAGGCGTTCCGAAAAAAGTTGTTTCATGCAGACAGTTTACTCAGTTTTATTGAAGAATGTAAACTGATAAACGTCCATTAAACTGAAATAATAGTTAAGTACTCTTTGCGTCGGTGGCATAGCGATGAGGACGCTCGCCGACTATGCACATGGTCCGGGGTTCGATCCCCGGCCGATTCACTCCTTTACCTTGGTAAGCCAGAAATAATGGTGGTAAAGAGGAAAGGTTGGGCATGAGGCTAGCAACCCCATCCTGTAAAATAAACACTGCTACAGAAACTTCAAGCCACTAGCTTGAAGCTCTATGTTCCACTGGGAACGTGAAGGAAAAAAAACTTTAAATATCAGGGTTTTTGGTTCTTATAACGGATCTTTAGAAAAACTGACCCCAAAAAATTGGAGAACTGTGTGTTGTAGAACAGCTCAACCGACAAGTGCATATGGAAACGATGAACTCTCACGCAACCCAATGCTAAGCATTCTTTTATAAGCTAACTTGTTCATTATCTGAAACCACGTAGTCTGAATATAGCATTAGAGGATTTGTAAACAATGATCACAGGCATCCTCCAGTTGAACTAGCAGTAAGTCTGAGTACACGCCCTTAGGATTATCCAAGATCCATAGGGAAGTCTAATCTCTAGAATAAGAAGAAATGAGTATAACAGTAACAGAATGATTTTTAAAATTCAGTCCATTACTGCTATTATTATTCAGAAAATATATGAAGTTTCTGTATAAAGCGTAGGCTATTACAAATAAGTTAATAATCGTATCACTGAATCTAGTCATTTATTTTGGTGTAAGTTATTCTTTGCAAACTTTCATCCTCATCACTACATATCATAACCTCCAAAAGATTTCTCTAATTTTTACTTAGATATCAATAAATATTATTTTCTAAATATCAATTTCTTTTTTTTTAAGAAGGCTAATCTTTATATTATGATGGTAGCGAAATATTTTTTCTACTTATACTTTGGTGAATTACCCACAACTGAATTGGATTGTCAACTGGGATTAGCTTGGATTGTAGTACTTTTAAATCTCTTATTTTAACTCATAAGAATGTCCCATGTACAACTGTTTTTCAGTTTCCTTCGTCGTCATCATTTTACACAGATAGATAGTTATCTGTCGGCGAAATTGCAATGACTTATTTCCATTAGAAACAAGTGCATTAAAATTTGTTTTCATACCTTCTCAGTGGAACATAGGGATTCAAGCGTGAACTTTGAAGTTTCAGTAGCAGTGGTTGCAACGATCGAAACTGACTCAATGTGATCTGAAAGCAGAAAACTGATTTATGCGTCCTATGGTATAGGTGTCTGAAACTCCCTTGAGGCATGCACAGTCACAAAGCACTCCAAAGACAACAAAAAGACAACTATCCGTCAATAAACCTATGTAGTTCTATTCAACAATAATAACATCCAATAATTCAAAAAATTACCTCAAAAGTCCCGTTTGACAGCTATACATACAAGTTAAATTTCTAAGCACAAAACTAGAACAAATTAGTTAAACAAAATCCAACTGTAAGAAGTATCTTAGAATCAAGTAGAAGATTCCCAAGAAGATGGGACCGAAAATCTGTCCGCAAGAATCACGCCTCCAACACTTCTCGCAGAGAGTCCAAGGTCAGAATGACCACTCACTCAAACAGACTCACATCGTTGAACA